CCAGATGATGGAAACTTGACAATTGCAACCAACTACTAATAAATTGCTTGGGGTCGGTCAGCTCAATGATAATATCAAAAGACCGTCGCCCTTTTTTTTTTTAAGAGAAAAGGGACGCGCAGATATATTGTAACGGTGGCTGACCGGCGAGCACGGAAAAACAAAAAAGAACAATGAAAACGAAGGAAAAACAAAAATGAAAAATGAAAATGAATAATGGTGTGCAGGCGTCCTGTTAGAGCCAGACTTCTATGTACCTGACCTTGAACTCAGCTACATCCAGAGGTCAGTAGATAAAGTACTTGCGTGACTATGTTCTCTTTCTTTCAACGGCCTAAATCCTACCAGGTAGGCCTGTTCCAAAAGCGCGAGTGGGTTGTGTGTGGTCTGTGGGAGAGTGTTGGCCATAGCCTCTGCTGCTACTCGATGAAGGGTGGCGGACGATGAGAAAGGGAGGCACAGCTACTGGCAGGTCTCGGTCTTTGTGTTAGCCAGACCCCCACTGGCGGCCCCAACCCTATACCCTAACCATTAGGGGCAAGGGGCAACATGAAATCTCCCCTTCACAGAGAGAGGAAAACTATGCTTGCAGGGGTCCCCTCTAGATAGTCTTAGGAGTAGGTAATGGAAGGTAAAAGAAACAGAAGTTGAGAGAAGAGTGTAGAGAGAACAGATAAAAAAAAAAAAAAATGTTATGCTACATCTGGAGAGCCCATGTGGCCAAATGGTAGACACACATGCACTGCAAAACACAGATCCATACAACATTTGTTTTGAGTCTTTTGACCACTCCGAGCGACGTGTTTAGTTCTTTGATTCATTCTGTTGCGCTCTATAAACCCCGGTACCCCTCAGCGAAGACCGAGAGGCCATGGAGGGCGTTGATCGAACGGTACGGCTGATGGGATCCCGAAACATCCATCTCCTAAAAGAGTGCTTTCATCGAACGGCTAACGGATGCCGAAACATCCACCGCCTAGCATGAACGGCCGATGGGTATTTCGCAGATGCGGAAGAGTGTGCGACCCACGTAAATACCATAAGGCTAGGGGCTACCTCCTGAAAGAAAGAAAGAAAGAAAGAAAAAGGAAAGGGAAAATTGCATCTGTGGATTCTGAACCCCATATCAAGGGGAAGAGGGAAAGGGAGGTGGAGCTCGTGGCAACAATTGCTCGGTCTTTGTGTTAACTGGCCGCCCACCTGCGGCGCCGGCCCTGGCAAAAGGGGCAACATACAATATCCTCTTC